TTCAACATGATTTTGGCAGCAGCAGTGTGGTGGCTGATCCTGGTTGGCAATTACAGGTGCAATTTAGCCTTGCCTGAGCTCTGTCTGTAAATGTTGGCTCTAGCCTCAAAATTACCCAAAGATACAAAGGTGATCAGTGCCACTGCTGGGGCAATGGAGAGCTGGGAAGACTCAGATCTGTGCTCGTAGGTGGTTGAAAATACAGGTGCAAGCCCCCTTTGCTGGGAGGGGTTCACCATCCTAAAATGTACATCAGGGTTTGCGCTGACTATACCCTGTCCCACCCCAAAATCAAGTTCTGGCTGACTTCCTGCCACAGAGCATTTTCTTTGCTTTCAGGATTATATGGCACATTTCAATAATGAAGATTCACCATTTTTTAATATTTCTGTTTTCTTTAGGTTGCAGAGCAAATTTAATGTACCCCATTTGTTGGTATTGTTCTAATAACTAACTAGTGCATTTCTAAACTGGCAATTTGATGCCAAACATGAAGACAACATGATGGTGGAGGGTTTTTTGTGCTTTTTTTTTTCAAGTTTTAATGGGAAATGTTGATTTGTTGAAGAAATATGTTTTTCATATATCTTGTGACATTGGCTATTGTTCTATTTTTTTTTTTTTTACAAAGAAGAAGATTTGGAAATGATTTTCAGTGGTGGAGTTGTTTGTGGGTGGTTCTTTAGATATTGCAAGTTGTCTCCTAGCAGTCTTTCCTCCTCATTGCTCAGGCAGTGAGGTGAATCTCAGAGTGATTCTCCCTGGCACAACATTTGTTTGTTTATTTTTTCCTTGGGGGCAGTTTTGTACTGAGTTCAGTTCATTTTAGCAGTTATTACTCCACATCTCTGGAAATGCTGCTGCTTTCAAACTGCATTCGGGGATCACTTTGGGTTTACAGTTCTTTTCCTTCCTCCTGATCAAACTTGCTGTTAGTGAGCCTCACACTGGCCCTGGACCATCACTCCCAAATCTGGAAGCAGTTTCTGGTAGCAAGAGTGTTATATTCCACCCAAGCCCCCATTCATCTTCTGCGTGATGTCATGAGAGGCAGAGCAAGGGAGCTTTGYGTTTCACATCCACATCCCTACTCCAGTTGCTGGAAAGAAATTCATTTTGCACCCTGGAAATCCACACTGAAGGACTTGATAATGCTCTCTCTTGTGGTTGTGCACAGGGAAGGCCAGGAGGGTCAGGCAGGAGAGTGCCTCTAAAAAAAGAGCTTGTTTTAATTGGCATTTTGGGGCTGTGCTACATTGGAAGAAATATTGCATTKTACAGTGTGGTGAGCAGGGCTGTTGTACAGGAGGACCAAATCACTGAGTTTTAGAGTCRGAAGTCACGGCTGCTCAACTTAATTTCAGTAAATTCTCCCTCAGAATTACCACTTAGTTTTAAAGCGAGTTAATTACATTAKGGGAACCAATGCAGGACACTGAGTTTGTTAGGCAGCACTGTATTAATTTATTTAAAGTTGTTTTATGAGAGCTCCTCTGTGTCTCCTCAGCGCAACCAGGAATCCTTTCCAAGGCATTCGGTCAGAAAAAACATCAGTAGCAACAAAACTGTTCAGCCTTTTTAAAGAGTTCCCTTTGGTAACTGGCTAGTGAACCTCAGAGGTTTTTGTAGGAACCATCTGAGTTCGTGTAGTATTGCAGGAGTTGGTACAAGGAGAGCAAATGAGTTGTATGAGAAGCTCATAAACTTCTTTTATCAACTAAATGCATGGCTATAAGCATTTGGAGGATATTTAAATATTGGTTTTCATTTAACTTTAACTGTATGTGAAAAACAAATGAGGATCTCASTAAAAAATGCCTGCCAGTGATGATCTGACTTCAAATATCTTTGTGAAACACTTCGTGAATTGKTTCGTGAAACAGACCTGACCAAGTGTTGTATTTTGTTACACGAAAGGATTTATCAGGATGGAAGGAAATCGCAATGAGTTAATGATCAATGTAGGAATCAAGTGCCTGTGTGAAGCTTTACTGTATTTTTTTTTTTTAATCTAACCATACAAACCCATCAAAAAAAAAACAAAGAAAACAAAGAATTTCTAACCCATTCTTTATGTGTTTCTTCAGTCTTAGTATAGGAAAATGCTGTTAATCCTTCAATTTCCAGATTAATGTGTAGTTTTGGGACATACAATGACAAAATGTACCATTGCCTCTCCATGTCATTTTCATCTAGAGACCAGGATTACATCTTYTAAGTTCTACATTAATTATTTCCTCTTTATGAGGTGTGCAAGTCTCTCTTGAAGTCACAGGGAAAATGTTTTTGTCAGGTTACCACTTGAAAGGAAATACATGTCTTTGCATTTTAGATACTGTTAAAGAACAGCACAACCCACACCTGAAMCAGAACCAGTGTGAAAACTTCCCTTCTGAGGATTTCTGAAACGTAATGAAACAGGTTGGAACATGGAAAAGTGGTGGTTCCAGTTTGAAGGAGATGAAGAAGGTGGAATGAAGGAGAGAAGCTGAAAAATTRTTCTTAACTTCATAGATTTGATCATGTGTATTGTTCAAGTTGCCCCATGGCTGGGGCATCTGCCTGTCGTTTAATATTTAATTGCCACCCGTATCCTGTTGTGATGCCTGTGAGGGCAAGYTGGACCTGCTAGAGAGGGGAAACTACTAGCAGGCTGTGAGTCTGTTGCCTGTTTATATTTTGCAGATGAAACTGGTGAGTTTGGACTGACTTAATCAGTTTCAGAGTGGCTTCAATCATGTTTTCAAGGAGCTCATTCTAAAAGAATAAATATATTTCTTAAGTTTGCTTCTGAGTGATTTGCCTCAGCATCCTCTTGCCAAGTGATTTACTTGAGAAGTCACACTTCCTTCAGCACCATGCCCTGCAGATGCATGGCAAACAGATCTGTTCTATCCCGGGAGATCCAGAATCTGTGGGAATTTCTACTAATAAAAATGAGACGTGCACTTCTTCCTTTTGAATTTTTATAACTATTTCCTTTTTACAGATGCGAACCTTGCTGCAGAATAGCCTGCCTGGGGCCCYGTGCACTCAGTGAAGGAGTGACTGATTTTTCTTTGTGTGTGTGATTGAGGACTTGATTCAGAGCTAAGAAATATGTGCCACTGGATTATGTTCTTTCAGTAAGATTAGTAAAAATATTTTGTTTATTGATGCAGATAAAACTTCACAATGCTGTTGTTTCCTTTTAAAGGGGCATATTACTCAGGGGGAAACATTTTTCCCACATTCATGGCAATATAGCATTGCCTATATATCCATACAAGACTCAAATCACTGTGCACACAAAGGTAGAAAATAAGTATTTTTATGGYTCTTTATAACACTGTGTTATTTCTAATACTGTACACCCGTGTCTCCTTCTGTACATCCTAATTAACAGTAAAAATAATGTCTTCATAGCCTGATTTTTTTAAAGTRCTGTCCAAAATTAAACAGCACTCAAAATAAGAATGATGAAATAATACAAATAGCTTAACTCAGCTGATTCATAGACATTCTACCTCTATTTTTTTTTCTTCTTCCTACTCTTCTGTTTACTTTGAGGAGCAATGCTCAGGCCATCTGGTTCTGGGGGCAGTGAAAACCCTTCAGGGTAACAAAGAGAAGATGAAGTTGCTCCAGGGGCCACCTCTAATAGATCCGTCATTCTCAGGTGTTAAAATTTCATAGCATGTGCTGAGACTTATTTAATTTCTCATTATCATTAATTTCTATGCTAAAGGGGAAAAAAAAAACAAAGGTGGTGTGGGGGGTTGTGGACACACCCAACAAAAGTAAGCCCAGATTGCAGATAATAAATATTAGAGTGTTGCCATGCTGAGTGTTAGTACTTCATTAGTTTGTATATACAGAGATGTTTTGGGTTTTTTTTTTTTTTTTTTTTTTTTTTTGCATCAATTCACCTATTCTGCTTTGTCATGATAAAGGAATGGTTATTTAGGGAAGTGTGTGATCAAGCACTTGGAGACTATAGAGCCAAGATGTGGAAGAGAATTTATTTCTGTGCTTGTAGAAAATGATTTTTTTTTTTTTTTTTACGAAAGTAAATGCCAAAGAAGACTATCCTTTAATTTGGATGTATGTATTTGTTTTACATACCCGTTGTGTCTAAAAATAGATTAAACCCACTGAGATTTGATTGACTGGAAAACGCCTGTCAGACTGTTTACAAATAAAATCTTCCTTCTCATACTGAAAATTGTTGCATGGCTCCAAAAAAAAAAAAAAAAAAAACAAAAAACTGTATGTGAGTT